GTAAACAGGAAGGCCAAAACTAAACTTTAGAGGCAAGCCTCAATAAATAAGCCAAATGATTTATCCAGAATAAATTGAAATGCCATTGGTTTAATTTAGTGTACTGGGAGAACGTTCCTAATATTGAGTCCAAATGGTGTGGTTGTTTTAAGTAAACCCAGTGATTTTCTTTATCTTTGCGATTTTTGTCGCTCCAACTGGCATTATGGTCAATTGCAATCACTCTGAAATTTGAAATTGAATGACCAGCTAAATTGAAATGTTCGGCTACTGGTTGATCAAGCTTAGATGCTGTCTCTTATACACAGTGTCATTCTCATACGGAGAGTGTTTTTTGTTTCTCCGACATATTGTTTACCACAAATATTACAATATATGAGATAAATGACATTTTTGGTGAGGCAATTAATTGATTGCCTTATCCGAAATATGTGCTTTGTTTGGTTGCTCTTGAATGATTGTGTAGTGTAGAATCAAGCAAGGAGCATGTTTTACATGATGAACCACAAAGATGACTACCCAAATTACGGTTGTCGCAAGAGTTAGTTTGCCTCTTGAATTTAGATCGTACTAATATATCACGAAGGTTAGGTGGTCTGCGATAGGCTATGAACTGTGTATCTGGAAAAACAGACCTAAGACGTTCTGTGGTCTGTAGAATGGGCATATGTTTCTGAATTATAGCACTTAGTGGTGGTAACCTAGGGTGATAGGTAGTGACCAGTGGCACTCTGGTCGATCGTTGACGTGGTTTGTACGTCAGTGTTTGAGCACGAGGTATGTCCTTTGCTTTTTTTTTATAGCATTTTCAATTGGTCCTCGATGATAATTTCTATTCCGAAGATGTCCGGATAGTTCTTCTGTTCGATTCTGAAAATCTAAATCCGAAGAACAAATGCGTCTCATGCGCAATGCTTGGCTGTACGGAATGTTTTTTGTACAGTGCTTCGGGTGACAGCTGCTAGGGAGCAGGTACATATGCCTATCCGTGGGTTTACGGAAGAGATCAGTTTTAAGTGCACCATTTTCCATGGTCACGGTGATGTCCAAAAAATCTACACTGCTTGTGGATTTGTTAGCAGTGAATTTGATTGTGGGATGAGCCGAATTAATGTTCAATAGGAACGTATCCAATCTATCTTCACCATGGGTCCAGATCATGAAGATATCATCAATGTAACGAAACCAAACATCTGGTTTCTTGGGCTGTAGGGACAGGTAATTGGCCTCAAATTTTCCCATAAATAAGTTAGCAAAAGATGGAGCCATTTTGGTGCCCATCGCTGTGCCATGAATTTGAAGGTAATGACCGTCGCCGAAAACAAAGTTATTATATTGGTCAGAATCAGCATGATAAGTTCACGGAGATGTGATTTAGATGGGGTTTTGCCCCGAATTTGCTTGTAATTTGAAATGCACGCATTAACACCTTCTTCATGAGGGATATTAGTATATAATGACGAAACATCAAGTGTAGCCAGAACAGTATTATTAGGTAAATTTGAAATATATATATATATATATATATATATTTATATAATGTGATATATATATTACTGAAAATACAAATATAGGGCCTATAAACCAAATACAGTATATAATAATACAATATATAGGAACATGATGTTATAAATCATATCAAACATAATTCATCAACGAAAGTTCCTTAATATATAGCAGTTGTATAAAAAAGAGGTCTCTGGTGGGAATAGAACCCACAATCTCTCGCTATCTCAGAGAGTTTCATACCGTTTACTCTTAACAGTATGACGCTCGCCGAAATAAATAAATAAATAGAATAAGGAGCTTTCACTGAAAAACTATACCTATATATAAATATAAAATTAGTTTTCATATTGAATAAATATACTATCACAAATAATAAATCATTTAATGAAACAATTAAAAATAATAGAATTGAGACAAATTATTTTATATCCAAAACTTTTTTTAATTGTTTTCTATTTAAGCACAATAAGTTACACTTAGTGTCATCATAATTGCCACTTGCATATTATATACATCATCTGCTAAGTAAAATCCATTAAAACATAAGCTATTTACATATTTATATTACAAAAAAAGCAGAGGAAATATTTTTTCTTTGCATGATTTCATTTTAATATTTATTCTTCCTCTGTGAAGCTACTGAAAAATGATCAGATATTTGTTTAAATATTACAATAAAATTGGTTAATACATATTTGATTAATATTTGATCATTATTTCGTATTAAATTAAAATATTTCTTTTGTTTGCTTTTTGTGTCATCACACAGATACTGGCTTGCCACTTGCATATGTTTGATATTCGGTGCTATACGTTTGCGGTACTGAGAAAGTCTGTTCCGGTCCTGCCGTGGGGATAACCCAAGGCGTGTCTACGGGGCAAGAAAACAGCTCCCTCATCTTGGGATCAGAGGGTGTTTGATATGAAGCTTGAGCAAGAGTTTGCATTCCACTGTTGGGTACTCGTTTGAATTTTTCAGGCCATCGAACTGGTTCCTTAATCTCTGTTTTGAAGATCAGTTTATCTTGCATCGGGGGTCTTGATCTGGGGACTGAATCTTTGGGAAGTAAACTGGAAGGGGAAAAAAAGTAAAAAATATTACAAACAACTATATAATACAAACAATGAACAAGCTAACAATATGTATTTCATATCTTACTATCTTATTTTTAAAGCTCTGATTTTCAGTTGCAAGAGATGTATATATTATATTAAAGGTTTAAATAATTAAATACAAACTAAGTTTGCATAATGCTTCTTCCCCCTCCACCCACCCCCCCCCCAAAAAAAAACTCTTTTTACAAGTGTAAAATTATGTATACATTTACTATAGACTACTATTATCTTTAGTTTATGCAACGGTACAATTGGTAGGCGGGTTTCTTGCTGTTTGACGAGTATTTTATTGAATAAGTAAATAATTAATATGGTCAATTTATAAAAATTATCACCAGTGGAGGTATAACTCCATACCAATGTTAATAACATGTGCTTATATAAAATTATGTAATACAACAGCATCTTAATAGAAGTTGCCAGGATATTTCCAAAAACTCAATAAAATTCAAGTAGAGTCTGAGTAAACTTACTTTTGTTTAGTGCCATGGCCCCAGGCTTGTGGGTAATCTTCACATCTCCAGTATGTAGCTGCGTCTTTCTTTGGGTAATCATCCAGGTCGTGTCGACTGAACCGCTTAAAGTCTTTATGCGTCGTTGTCACGTACGGATCAAGTAGTTGTAATGCGCCATCATCTCTCACAAGAGATGGTTTGTACTTTGGTGTTTTGTCCTAAAGCGGTAGTAAAAAATATCAATAGAAAGATTAATTATGGACTCAAATAGGAATTCCTCTCAGTGATGCAGGGCTGAAGAAGCATCATTTCTATTGTAACATTTGTATCATTTGTAATGGGGGAAAAAAGATGTGGAATAAAGAATGACTGACTGATTGGTTGACTGATTAACTGATTTTGTATCACTCATGTAGTTGCCATTTGGTGCACTGGGAATTAAACACGTTGGCTGCCAGCGGCGAGTATACTTGTCCCACAGGGTGTTGCTAAGGGCGCCAGGGACGAGCATACTCGTCAAAATCGGGGTAACATTCTAGAGTTTATTACTTCTTTGTTATACATTGTAGAACTACAGACTCAACAGCTTATAGTTTGAGGAAGATACACCTAGACAATAATGTACAAATGACGTATGTATGTTTGTTGTGTTATGAGTTTACACGTCCCCTAATATTTTTCCACCAATTTCTTAGATTTTGATGATCATATGACTAGATAAAATTTTAAAAAAGTATGTTTGTACATGTAAACTTGTTTTGGTACATGGGAAGGAACCTTAAAAAAAAGGTCTGGTAGTCAACGTGTTAAACAAAAAAGCACAAATTATATGCTTGAATTTTGAAGAGTCAGTTGAATGCAAGATACCTAAATGAATGAAACACAAATACTTACAGCAAGAGGAGCTGGCATCACGGAATGGTGCTGCTGAAGTGTGGTTGGTTGGGGGTTTTGGTTCAAGTATGTGTTGAAGTCAACTCCGGGCTGCATATGGTTGCCTTTGTACTCGCCTTGCATCTCACTTTCCTGGTTGCCCATTGTCAATGGTTTCCTCCAGCCTCTTGCTCTCATCTGTTACCAAAGAATTGCATATTAATTAAACAATGTAATTAAAGGTAAATATCATTGCAGTGTGGCCAGGATATTGCATAATTAAAGTAAATGAGCGTGTTTGCAGACACCTTGGTGAATTTAACAGTGAATTTAATAACCAATCCAAGTCCATATTTAAATTTATAATGCTTGTTGAAAATATAAACATTCTGAATTCATCAGCAATTATCATATTTTCATTGACAAAAAAGAGTTGTATGCCCATATATAGTCATAATGGACTTATATATGGTCATAATGTTATATCATCATGACCATATTTAGGCATGTCATATGTTTTTGTGAAATAAAATTTGATACTCGGCTTAATACCAACCTTTTCTCTAAGATCTTTATTGTAATGAATATTCCAATGACCTGGAGCCTTCTGCTGTTGAGTGTTACCATAGATACCACCATGATGTTTAAAGTCATGCGTTTCTCCTGTTGTCGTTGTGTATGGTTTAATTATTTCATCTTGCTTGGCTAACTCGGGCGGTAATGGGTTGTATATTGTCGTCTAAACAGATGGAGAAGAAAGGCCATTTATTTTATTGTAATTAATATTTTTTCTTTAACTATTAAAATATTAACAATTCAATCACATTTTTAAAAATGATGAAAAGTCTGAACTGTTATTTGAATGAAGTAGGAGATAGTAATCTAAAGAGAAAATGTTTCTTGGTTAATAAAGATATATGAAACATAAATGTTATGATGTTGAAATATCTGCAGTATTTTCTAGGTGGTTTTCTTTGTGAAAAGGAAAAACGAGGTGCATTATTTATTATAATCATTGATGTACTACTACCTACTAACAATATTACTATTTATTAGTATTATTAATTAATAAATAAAAGTACGCAAATACAGGGTGAAGGCACATTTTCCACCTAGATAAGTACCCTGGTTCTTAATACGTGGCCTGCAGGCCAAATTGGTCCACGAGGCAATTTATTTGGCCTATGAAGAAAAAAAAAATAATGAAAAAAAAAATATTTAAAACATAATAAAATTTTGATGAACGCATTTTCAAATCGATCACTGGGTACTTTCCATGGTCCTATTCTTCACTTTGTGCTTCAAACAAGCCATATATGTTATGATTTAGGGGTTATCCCACTCAGATCTAAAATTTAACTCTGTAAACAGAACTGTAAAAAAAAAACACCCAAGATTGGTATTATTATTTAAAGCACTGATATATTTAACATAGAAGCACAGAGGAGGTAAAAATTTTATCATAGACATGTTAAAATTTTAAGGATTATATGCCCTGATGTCTGATTTATGCCCATTGGTAAAACTTAGAAGCCCATTGTTAAATCATCATAGAGGTAAACATAACTAAATTTAGGTTATTATGCAATAGGTCTATGGTAATGGGTTATATTGTCAATAATATTCGTAAGCCTACTTATTTTACATGATATACATTTTGATTGTCCTGCAAATAAATCAAGTCATACAAGACTCTATATACCATCAAGTTTCTCTGTGTTTTGTTCTGATCTTTGTGTTTCATTTTTTCAAGTCATATAAGCATCTCCCCGAATCCAGTTGCAGAAAACTTTTATATTTTGACTGAAGACTGTTAAACTGATGACATTGACTGGTCCACACAGAAATTTCCCACCACCCAATTTAGTCATGACTGCTGGTGTAGGCCTAGTATAATTTAAAAGTAGGCCCCTATAATTTCAAATTGCAGATAGACCTATCTAAACGGAAAGAGTTTCACCCAGATGTATAACGATTGCTTTCAACTCGGCTGATATTCTCTTTGGCCTATCAGATCATCAAATCTAAAAATAATTTGGCCACACAAACAAATTAATTAGGAACCAGGGTTATATCAATATTAATTAATAATACTAATAAATAGTAATATTGTTAGTAGGTAGTAGTACATCAATGATTATAATAAATAATGACTTATTGACTAGTCCCCTTCTAGGTCTAGCCTAGGCCTAGATGGCTTATTATATGAATCAATAATAAAGCTAAGAATGATAGCATCATTAGGGTTAGTTAGCGTTAGGGAGACTTAGCAGTGCACTTGTTGGATATTGAACACAAATCTTAACATGATATGAATATGTCCCTTCTTCTATGCCTAGGCCTAGTCAAGGCTCACCCAAGCCAACCTACTAGAGTCCAAGGCTAGGCCTAGGCCTCCGCCTAGTCCAGGCTAGAGAGATTAGAGAACTGGGCAAGACACATGCAACCTCCTGTAATAAGAAGATACGAACCTTGAAATCGGATGCTGGAAAGTAGTATCCAGGTCTGTAGTCCAGTCCTTTCCCTGAACTGGTTTGATGTAAATCAAATCGTCGGTCACTTGTATTTGTCATGACTGAAACTGTTGAAATTGCCCTTTAAAAAACTAAATAATATGGTTCAGACCTCCTGTCTCGTTGAAATAGTACGTGGGCAGTGGACAGATAATATGAATCGATCGAGTTGTTTTCATGTACCAGTGCGATTGTGTTTGTAATCTCCATAACAACCTACAAATAAACAACGCCCCCATCGGCAATACGCTTTCAATTACTTCGCACGTACATCCAGAGCTGGACCGGTCCTAACCCAGGGGCCTAATAGCAGGGACGTATCCAGGGGGGG